CTGGATGCCATCAAATCCTTGCTCTAAGACACAATTATTCATCTTCTCCTGGACTTTTCTCTTACATGTTTCAGTGCAGCAACTGGAAACATCCCATGTAGGAAGGAATTTCTCTTCCAACACCCCTGTGAGCAGAAAGCCTGAGTTTTACCTACAGGGAAATATGATGAAGACATGAGTTGTAAAATGCTCCACTAGCGAGGCTCAGGTGGGATTTTTCAGGGTACTCACATTGTGTCTATTAAAGCCCAGCTCCCCTAACCTCAGCCAGAGCTGTAACCACTCAGCACTTCTACAATTTGAACTCCAGTGTGTACAGAAAATGAGAAACATGGAAATGGTGGCTCTCAGAGAAAGAAAGTCTGTGGTTTAAAGGGGCAACAGCTCCTCTGCTGATGCTGTGCTGGAGCAGGGCTCTGCTGCACAGTCAATGTGCCAGAGTGAAAGAACAGAGCGCCACTGATATGAGCAAAGGGGTGGACTTAAGGCAGTGCAAGGTGACTGGCATTTGCAAATTTTTCAGCAAAAGTTCTGTTTTCCTACCTTAACCATTGTCTGTAACAGCTGTGCTCTGCTTTCTCTTATAATCTCTTATGATTTTTTCACCTTTTACCAAGATATCAGTGGAGGACATTTCTCACTTTCGACCCAAGCAACCTTAACCTTTATTCTGGTACAAGTAGGAAGGAGGTGAGTGCGGGACAGAGACTCAAAGGAGCCCCCTGTGCCACCAGCAGGATCAGAGGGAGCCCTATTCAAATGCTTTCCAGTGAGTGCAGTGGGAGCAGAATTTGCTGGTCACCAAGCAGCTTAAAAAAGGACAGTAACAAGAGGAGTGGAAGGGCATGAACCTTCATTGCCAACCCGACAGCCCCTTTCTGCACTGTGCTCTTCTGCTCCATGCCCACTTAACCCAACCTTAGAAAGATGTCTTTGTGTCCAAGACAGACTTTCCTGAGCCTCTCTGAAGCATGTCTAAGTGGCCAGTGCTCTCTTCTCCAGCAGCTTCTGAAGGCAGCACAGAGGTCTCTTTTACTCTGTTAGAAATTCATAGGGCTACCAGCTTGTCACTCCAGAAAACATCCAGCATTTTCAGCAAGGCTTTTAATTCATTAGTTCGCATGGGAAAATATTCTAACCTTCCTGCCCTCCCCAGCTGAGTCATTGATGCTTTCCTATCTTGCCGCAGACACATCACCTTCAGGAAAATAATTGCTTAGTATGCTGATAACAACAGACATTATCTTTCTGAACTGGGCATTTGTTTGGGATCACAGGGTCGTCTCACGATGAGGACTGCAGGACACATTGGGGTTACTGTTTTAAACAAGTCCTGACCTTCCCTTGCAGGCTGTGGGAAACCCTGAATGGCCACAGGGCTGGACTCCCGGGGGAACCGGGGAAGGCTGGAGGAAGCTCAGCCAGAAGGAAGGGGCTGAAGCGTTCTGGGAGGGACTGGATGAGCTGTGGGGGGAGGTAGGGTGCACGGGAGAATAACTACGCTGGATAAGGAGCGTATAAATAAAGAACCATCTAAGAAGTAAAGACAGTGCCAAAAAAACACTTTAAGCATTTCATTTTCATTTCTGGCCTCTCTACAGAGTTAATGCAGTCCAGAGGTCTTTTCAGGGATCCAAGCTACCTGGGGACTTGAGGATTGCCCAGAGTTTCCTTTACTTACAGAGGGAGCAGAAGCTTCTACACTTGGTGTCTATGGCCTGCAGCTGTTAACACCTTCTCTCATTGGTGAGAACATGTTGGGAGGGAACAGGATTGCCCAGTGCAGAGTTACGTGCACCAAAACTCACCCCAACCCTTCAGAGACCACCACCCCAACAGTGGGTTTGATGTTAATTTCTAGCAACCAGCCACTCAGGAACAAAACGCAGCACCCCTACTGCCCTCCCCACCAGCGAGCACGGCGAATGCTTGGGGGCTCCAGCCCTTACCCTCACGGTCACAGTGGCCTCTCCGGAAGCCGGTGAAGCCTGACTCCTGGGAGGGCGGTGGGCACAGTTCCACAGCCAGGAACTGATGGCCCCACCTACAGGTGACGCTTGTCCCAGGGGCTTCTGTAGACAAGGGCAGGTGGAATTTAACCACAGGTCCAGCCAACCAGTTGGATTCACTTACAGGCACATAAGCACCTTATACAGATACAGCTATTTCTCTTTACCTCTTGGAATATTTAAGCTGCACAAGTATAGAGGACAGCAGAGGGTAAGCTAGCCCCAGCCTCAGTCTTGGTTCTGTAACCAGAGCTGTTACATCAGTTCTTGCCTCTTGCTCCAGATGATCCTAATTCAGTTCCCACTGAACTGCCTGCCTTGCCTGTACTCTGGGGTGGCTGTTGTCAGACAGTCAGACCATGTGGACTAAACTCTGAACAGGTTCCTGAATTTAGGTACTAGCCACATTTCTGACTCTCAGGACCCTTTACCGTGCCTCAGTTTACTGCTCTGCAACACAGTGATACCAACATAAACATTTCCTGCTTGAAGATCTTTCAGATGTGCTCTGGAAGAGTTGCAGGTTGTTGCTATTTCCAGGGCTATTGTTATAACACATTTTTGCTGCGCTAATTCCCTCAAACAGAAATTGTTCTGCCTGGAGTAGGCTGGGACAAAGCAGCCAATTAGTTGTCCCTTACACGTTTATTAACTCTGCAGCTTTCTTTCAACGAGTATGTGGAATCTGGTAATGTTTTAATATATTTTCATAAACTGTGGGCACAACATGTCCTGTTTCAAGCTAATAACCATGCCATATAATTAGTCCTGATTACACAGGTATTTAGTATCATTTTACATATTCCAATCCTTTCCTAGTGCCACTGCCTAGCACATTTAACACATTTAAAACCACAGCCGTCTCCCTTCTCCCAGCAGTTTGTAGGGTTTTCTTTTGGACAGGTTTGCAGTTAGCACGACAGCTTCAAAGAACAATTTCGTTTCACTGATGTACATTTTATATATGTGTGTATATATATATACACACACATATACAGGCTCTCATCAAATGTCAGGTGACAAAACCCAGGATACAAATAGAAGGCATTTGTCTACTTACAGGGAAAAGCCACTGTTCGAAAGCTATCAGGAAATTAACAACATGAATCTTTAAAAATCTATTCCTTAAACATCTGTTGGCTTTGGGCTGAACATTTACCATACTGAGGATTTTACTGCGAGGTAGCACTCCCCAAACAAAAGATCCCTCACCCCATTAAGTTCTGATGGGGAACGAGGAAAATTTGCTCTGTGCAACCCGATTATAGATGTGTATCTTTCCCTGCTGGCGTGGCTGTCTCTATAGAGATGGACATGGATATTTGACGAGATTAAAATGCTTCAGTTACCACTGTCAGTGGTTCTTTAATTTAAAATGAAGAAAGCAAACAAACATTCCTTTTGATGAGGTAACTGAATGATGCTACGGAAAAGCACTTTGCTGTCAGGTGGTAATTAGGTTCAGTAATAGTTGTGGGTTTTTAGCCTTGGAGGCTGTGGCCTCTGGGGGTCTGAGAGAAATGATACATTCAATTTCCAGAGGAGAGGAAGATGCTGGATGCTTTTCTCTACTAACCCTGCAGGTCCCTGCAGATAAGAACATTTGGAACTGCAGGGCTGACAATCCTCCTTGAGCCAGCCTAAACTGTTGTGTGTCAAGATCATGAACAGAGAAAGGGAGATGGACTCAAAGCAGAGCATTTAAACACCTAACGCAGTCAGGCTGGCTCTGACCACGTATATAACGAACTGCCAGAATGGCCACATTGAGAAGATTTTTAAAGGCTGCAGAAGGAACTCCAGCAATTGCTCTCTGGTCCTGGCTGATATTTGTAACATCCATCTTATACATCACTAGAAAATCTTCAGTAGCAAAGTGTTCCATTGCAAACAAGCAACTGTTCCCACTGGTACTTTTTTAAGGAGGAAGAAAGTGGGGAGAAGAAGAGAGTGAATTTCAAGGCTCAGCTGCCTCCGTTGCCAATTTGGAACTGGCCTTTCCACTGCAAAATATAAATTGTATTTGGTTGTGCTATTAAGAGTTGAAACACAAATTTAACATTCCAATGGGCCCAAAAGCATTTAAGTGGAAATTTTGAGTTTGGAGGCATTACTGCTGTTTTCTCAGAACAGAGGCAAATTCTGAATACGGTGTTTCCTATGAAACAGGAGCTCTGGTTCCTGCTCTGATCCCCTCCTCACATTATTACACAGCTTAACCTGTTCAAGGAATGCTGGTTCTCAACAAATGCTCCAGTGGTATCTCCCCTGCTCCTCACACAAGCTAAGAGACACTGAAAGGACACCAGTTGGCCAACACCGGACAGAGGGTCAGCAGCACTGCAGGGATTCAAGCCTGGACGTTTCAAGCCCTCTGTTCACGTCTTTGTGCATTGTTCAACAGTGCCTTACTTCATGTCCAAAACAACTTCCTTTTGACAAACATCCACTGAACTGGTTGTAAAGCTGAAGTAAGGACTTATGCTGAGAGGGGACCCCCAGGTAAGGGGTCCCAGTTGGACTGGCAGAAGGAACCTGCCATCTCGCTGCCAGCACTGCGGCAGGTCCAAGGGGAGATGGAGAACCCTGCCTTTAGCACAGGCTTGCCAGTAATTTCCTGAAGCACTGAAAAAGTTTTCACTTCCAGAATTAAAACTTTTCAAAATAAAGTGGGTCTGATTCTCCTCTCACTCTTGGGAGATAAATGAAGGGTAAGTCCATTAAAGATACTGGTGTGAGATTGGTGTACAGCAGACAAAATTCAGGAAAGATATCGATATCTCCAAAATCCCCTGAATATTTTTTCAGACATAAACCAGGTATCTTTCCTGATCATAAATGCTTTATTTCCGAATGGAATTTCAGTAAAATAAGCACGGTTAGACTAGCACGCTTATTATAAAGCCATAATGCAGTAGCACTGAAGTTTAGTCATGAAAGGTATTAAAAAAGCAGTCCTGCTAAAGCAAGAGAAATTGCTTTCTGACCTACCTAGTTTTAGGAGTGGGTGCTAGTGGTCTCTCCACCAAGGAGTTCAGCCTGTAGTAATCCAAGAACGTCCTGGCCACGTTTCTTCCAAGCTTCATATCTGTGAGTCTTTAATTAAGGAGCATTTAAAAAAATAATTAAAAATAAAAATAAAAATTATTAATAATAATAGAAAAGCAGACTCTAAAGGTAAATTACTGCTATTTGATGCATGAGCAATTTTTACATTAACCATCCCACAGTGCTCAAGCTTCAGGCAAAATGACTTACGCAAGCAGATAAAGTGGGGGTCATCTTGTTTCCTTCTTGTTTTCACAGGCAGATGCTACATAAAACCACAGACAGGAGGAAACAATCGCCCTTTTCCCCCACGCCTGATTGCAGATCCCTGTGGTGGTCACAAAGTAATACGCTAGACAAAAGGGGACTTCCAGTTTCCATGTGCAGGGAAGATATTACCTAAAAGTGCTTGGATACAAGCAGTATTTCTGTGCTTGTATCCAGAAAACAAGGTCAATAATGTCGTGGTATGAACAGCCATGGACCAGTGTACAAACACAAGGTTGGGATTAAAGCTGTAGCCCTCCAAACTTTTAGCACTGACTCCCACACTGTCCTGGGAGAATATACTCTTCTTTAATTGTGTTGTATTCAGGACCTGAAACGGAGATTTTAGCACTGAGCTGGAAGGACAGCAGATTACCTTAAATAGCTCAGCAGGAACTCTGAGGGCTCTTCTCTCCTCTCTAGCCATGATTCCTCCTTCAGCTAACGCTGAGCCCAACACTAGGCAGGTGCTGCACATCAGAGCTGCCACAGAGACCCTGCAAGCAGAGGAACCAGACCTTCCTGAAGACTCAGTTGCCTAAAAAGAAGCTGAACAACCTGCAAATGCATTGAAAAAATAATATGCTAGACAACATGTCTGTGGGCTGAGTCTCCTGCTCGTGTGAAATGTCAGCACTAGGTCTGACTCTTACAGAGCAGACTTATCATCTACAGAGTGATGTCCAACTGCGAGAAATGCAGTTGATGCCATTATCCACAGCTGTATTATAGGGGTTGAGAACTCCTTTAGTTGCCTATTTTGAACTGATGCCTACCCATGCTACAGTAACCACATACTTCTCCAGGGCACTGCCCCAAATGGACATTGTAATGGCCATTTCAGGAGTGCTGATGTGGTAGCTGAGGTGGGTACATAACCTGGGAAATCTAAATACACCTCTGCATCTGACACCCAGCAGTCCAGGAAAATAAACCGTTGCTGGGTTGTTTCGTGTGCGTGTTCTACTTTATCGATAGTTATCTGCTGATGTTTCCATTAGAGGAAAATTCCAGAAGTGCAGTGTCCCAGGGGCTTCCAGCAGCGCCTGTGAAGACGCTGGCTTCTAAATGAATCTTTTATTACCCGCCCACTTACATTAGACACATCAAAACAAGTGAGCATGAGACATCAGGTTCAGGCATCACTGCGAGATCTCTGTGTGTCATTTATTTATTTATTTACTTAAAGGGGAGGTCTAACTGATGTGATTCAGTCTTTAGCTCTAGTTCTACAAAAAAAACAGCTACCAGCTCTGCTAGCACTGCAGTCAAGGCCAGGTCTAGTGGCTGAGGATTTCATAGATTTCTAGGTTGGAAAAGACCTTAGAGATCATCCAGTCCAACCATCCCTAATCCCCATTAAACCATATCCCTAAGTAGTTCATCCACCCTATTCTTAAACACATCTAGGGATGGGGACTCAACCACCTCCCTGGGCAGCCTATTCCAGTGGCTGACAACCCTAAGGATGACTCCTGACACTGCTTTTCTCTCCAGTGATCTGGTCCCACCTTTCCAGTTCCCACTGCTGTGCCTGGGGATGGTGACATGGATCTCTCTGTTTCAGGATCTATCATGATATGCTCATTGCCATCCTAATACCATATGTGCTGCGGGAATCTATATTCTTCTGCCCAGCAGTACGGCACAGCCCGAACAGCTGGTGTTCAGGGCTGTTGTCTGCGTGGACAGGGATAGCTGGTTGTGTGAAACAGCACCGGCTGGTGCACCG